GATGCTACATATTACCATGTTTGGTGGAATTGTAAGAAAGTTAAGGCTTTTTGGATAAAAATATGGTGGGTTATGCAGAATGTTTTGAAGAAAAAAATTCAATTTTCTCCACAATTGTTTTTATTGGGTATAGTAAAGGGTTTTACATTGGATGAAACTAAGTTGATATTGTATATGATAACAGCAGCGAGATTATTGATAGGTAAATACTGGAAAAATGAAGCTTTACCCACTATTGAAGAATGGACTTTGAAGATGGCCAGTTTTGCCGAGATGGCGAAGATTTCAGCATATTTAAAAGATTGCTCACAAGAGACTTATGAATGGGAATGGAAAAAATGGATAGATTATGTGCAGAACAAATATCAAATTAGGAAGTATCAAATAGCTTTTCATTGAAAGTATTATATAAAAATAGAAATGTATGAATTTTGTGAAGATAAAAAATTATAAGGGGGTTTGAGGGGTTCAAGTTTTATAAAAAGGGGATTTTGATGGGATTATACTCTGTGGAAGTCAGGGGGGGAGGATTAGGGGGGTTTGGGGGGGTTAGGGTGGGGAGTGTGGGGTGGGTTGGGGGGAAAAAAATGGGGTGAAAATGTAATTGTAAAACTTTTGCAATAAAAAAAAAAGATTCCCAACAGCCACATATTTCTCTCTGCTCTTCCAGCTACTCATAAATGGCCTAGTTGGACAAATAGCCGTGAAGACTGAGTGTTGAACAAATCCAAAGCATCTTTTGTAGCTTTCATGGGGAATTCATCCCAGGCCCAGGTCTATACCTCACTCAGAACCTACTATATATTGCAAAGAGCAGGACCTGGGACACAAAAGGACAGCACCTCCTTCTAATTAAACCTCTCCCACATTGAATTCTAGGGAATCTCACACTTCTGTGTGCCCAGATTCAGCTGGTGGCTAACTAGGTTTCTTCAGGATCTCCTGGACCAACATTAGAAGAAAGGACAACAGCTCCTGCTCTTTTATCGGCAGGGACTTTGCGAAAGGAAGGCCACATTAATACTTTTCTCTCTGAAAAACATCATATACTCAAGAAGTTCAGCTGCCTTTTCACTCTGATGGGTTTATACCCCCAAAATTTAACCCCCCCCCTGAGTTCTACAGGGCTATTCGAATTTGCACTCTTATCATTCAAAGCACTTTAAGCTGGAGTCCCCTTTTATTCTGCGATTGGAAATACTTTGCGTCTGAAAATTGGGGTTCTTTTTATACGTCATTTTTGCTGGAAATTTAACTGACCTCAGGGATTCCACCCATAGAAAATATGAATTGAATCACGTATTTATTTTTATACTCAGATTTCTTTTACTTGAAATATGAATATTAAAGTATTTTGATAGAGATAAAAAGAGTAAGCATAAAATATCACAAATCCAGGTGAAAACCATATTCACTATAAAGCCGGATATTTCTTGAATGGGAAGAATAAATAAATAAATTTGTAGTTGCTTTTTTTTAAGTATAGGAAACTTGTACAAAATAACAAAAAATAGATTTGGAATTAGGATGGGATATCAGAGCTCTTTCAAGGAACAAATTTTTAGTCATTGTTCCATTAAAACCTACAAAAACTGAATAACTGTTTTTGATATACAAAATACTTACCTGGAGATGTATTTGAGACCAGGTGTGAGTAAAAAAGAATAAAATCATACTTCTTGTACCAAAGTTTGCTCTGCTTTTGTCTCCTGGGTGTAGAATTTGGGGGAGTGTTGTGGATGAAGAAACCACATGGTTTTGCAATCTTCTGGAGTCAGCTGTGGTTTACTAGATATGGAGTACAGGTAGTCCTCAAGGCAGGTGGGGTCCTGGATCTCTCCCTGGAGGCCTCAGGAACATGCAGATCCCGTCCCTGGGAAAGTCCTTTTCCCACTTGCCTTTCAGGGACTTTCACCTTCTGGGATCAACCCTGATTTGGACCAGTTAACAGGGCAGCCTGCTATTTTGCTACAGGCATCTATTAATTGCATCAGCTTTGGATCAGCCTCAGAGCCTCAGCGTCTTCTCCTCAGCCCTCCCCTGTAAGAGAGCTCCTTCGCTGTGTAGGCTGATCCCATGGTTGTGGGGCGATTGGCAATAGGTAGTAAGTGCGGATGGCTTGCCAAGCATCCCGATTGCAATCCCGTGCACAGCCATCACTTTGAGGACCTGTTGTAAGTCTCTTCCTCGTATTTTTGTTGCTGAAGGAGTGGTCGTTAAGTGAGGACCACCTGTATATTCATCTGAATTATCTACTGTGCTGAAACTGAGAAACGTCCCAAAGAGGTGCTTATATTCAGATTGTGATTTGACAATGTATTGTCCTGTATAGTGTTGCTTTCTGGGATGTTTGTGCCCATTACAGCCAAAAATTGCCAGGAGGGAAAAGAGCTTTCCGTCTTTGAGCTGATGAGAGCTTTGAGACGTCTTATTTCTGTAGGGAGCCTTCTATGTGTTCAACGTCTAAAAGTTAGAAAAATGACTCTTTGATGAGATCATTATTTGTTATTGCTGGATCATCTTCTTGCTTTTTCTCCATCCTTTTCTTTTTCCTTTCCTTTCTCAGTTTACATGCCAGCCGCCTTCCTGGTTTATTTGCAAATTCAAAATGCCTCCCTTCCACATGGGTCAGTTTAGATTCTATTGCTCAGACTGTTAACAGAGAGAGTTGCTGGTGTAGCAATTTATCTTGTGGTAGAATTTTAGAATCCATTTGTGTTTTTTGCAATTCCATCTCTGTATTTCTAAAGTGATCCAAGAACTTTAGCATCTTTTCTTCAGTTTTCTTCTTTCTAAATAGTTGCATTGAATAAAATAATCCAATTTTTTTTCTTCCTCCAGGAGTTTACAAATACTAAATTGTCCATCATATTTAAAAATTCTTCTGTAATTTACCCTGCCGGGTTTAATCACCATCAAACAGTAGGTTTCTTTTCTAGATAACTAATGAGGAATATTCTGGCCTTTGGATCCCTCTGGTGGTCAAACAGGAAACTATTCCCAAAGTCAGTAATTTCAGACTTCCTGATTCCGACTTCATCCATTCCCCTCCTTGCCTTTGGGCAATCAGGGAGCCTCCTTAATTTAAAGTTATAAAGATTTAAAAAGCATCCTACGGGCCGGCCGTAAAAAAACTTCTTTAAAGCTGTTAGGGTAAGAGTACAAAGTTAAGTGGCAAAGAAGTAGAAGGCATGTTTAATTCTCCCTTATCAAAGTATTGAGAAATAGCTGACTCTTCCAGGGCCAATTTCCTTCTTGTTTGCCCTGCCCCCTGCTGGAGACTCACCTGATCTGCTTCTTTGCTCTGCTCCAAAGCTTTCCTGCAAGTCCCAGACTCCAGAGACGTCCATGGGGGCTGATTTTGAAGCTTTTCCCTTCCCCAGATGCATTTTTTTTTTCCCCAGGCTTAGAAACTGGCTAAGCCTACTAGCCAGTGGAGAATCCGGTCTCCATCTTCTGGAGGTCCATTCAAACAGCCAGGGGGGAAACTACCTTGATTAGTTTCCATCCCTTAATTCTTGTCCCCCTTCAGGTGCTTTGGAGAATAGGCTGTCCCCCTCTTCTTTATGGCAGCCCCTCAGCTATCATGTGGCTGCTAGTCCTTCTCTTTGTCAGACTAGACACAGCCAATTCCTGCAACCGTTTTAGTCCCTAGAACCTCTTGGTTGCTCTTCTCTGCACTCTTTCCAGAGTCTCAACGTCTTTGTTGCATTGGGGACCAAAACTGGATCCAGTATTCTAGACAGTGGTGGGATTCAGCCGGTTCGCACCACTTCGGGAGAACCGGTTGTTAACTTTCTGAGCAGTTTGGCAAAGTGGTTGTTGGAAGAAATCATTAGGGCAGAGAACCGGTTGGTAAATTACTTGAATCCCACCACTGATTCTAGGCGTGGTCTTTCTTGGTAAGACCAAGTAGTACAAAGAGTACAAAGCAGTACTAACACTACAGGCGATCTTGCAACTGTTGCTACAGCCCACTGGCTTTTTTGGCAGCTATAATGCACTGCTGGCTCCTATTTAAGTGATTGTCCACTAGGACTCCAAGCTCCTTTCACGGTTACTCCAGTTGAGCCAGGCACCACCTATTCTAGACCTGTGCATTGGTTTTTTTCTTGCCCGAGTGTAAAACTTGACTTTTCTCATCAAAGAATTGCATTTTGCTGCATAGGCCCCAGGGATCGACTCTGTCAAGATCCTTCTGAATCTTGAGTGGGTCTAAAGTGCTGGCTAAAGTGGTTGGTGTCCTTTGCAAATTTGATGAGTGCCTCTTCAATCCCCTCATCTCCGACACTCCTTCTGGGGTCTCTGCTGCTGCCAGGAGGCCGAGGGGCCCCAGGAGCTTTGCAGCTGCCTGCACCAGCTGTGCTCTCATCAGTGGCTGCGGCTGGAGCATCTGCTGTCCCTGCTGCCCTGGGGGTTGGGAAAAGATCAGGTGAGGAGGGGATCTCATCCTGGGAGCTGGGGGTGGAAGGATCAGGGATCTTGTAATGTGTGTGAGAAATCACATCAATCCAGAACATCTCTGGATCTCCTAATATTTGGAGAACTGATCTCATCTGGAGGCAAATGTTTCTGTTTGCCCTTGGGGAGAATTCCCTGGGAGGAAAGATAAATTCCATCCTGTTTCAATCTCCCTGAGGGATGTAAGAGGGTCCAGAGTTTGAGGGACCAGACAGGATTGCTTGTCCAACCTCCCTTTCCTCTAGTCCAGGGATGAATTAAGGGCATTTTTCCCTTTCAGCTGATATTATTCATGCTCTTCGTCCTCAGTGACAATAGAGCAAAACCTGATTTTACAGGCTTACATCTCTCTGTTTTTCTTTGCAAACAGTCTCTGAGAAAAGGCATCTAGGAAACGGGTGTTGGGATGGAGCTGTGGTACCTGGGAATTATCTTGGGAGGCAGGGAAGAGCTGCAGACTGGACAACCTTCAGGAAAATGGGGTGTGTGATGCATGGAAAGGTTCTGACCTGGATTCCTGAGACAATAAAAACACACGCTTAGTCCCACAAACCCTCTTTTTATTTCAACGGCTGTGAATTATGTCCATTCACAGCCCATAATGAGTCACAAATAGTTTGTTAAGCGTCCGACAGAAGTCTCACAGTCCTTCGGGATAAGGCTGATAAGCACCCACCTTCATCTCCCTTGACCCGCTGCCAAAGACCTAACTGGCAATAAGCGGTGCAAGGCCACACGGAGCACAGAGACAAAAACGGAGCTTCAAAATGTAAACCGACCAGAATGAACAACGTTGCTTCCTGCAAAGGCTCACGTGCCTTTGCTCCTCTTTTATGTCTGATGGGGCGGGCCAATCATCTCCAAGCCCTATTCACGAGTTGTCCATTTTTTCTTAACTGTTCTTGCCTTCTGGCAACTCTGCGCATGCGCGCACTGGGAACAGGCACTGCCTCGCTGATGTCAGAGCCTGGAAGCTCCGGAGGCAGCACATACCACCCAGATGGCCCTGGCCCCCTCTCTGCCTCAGATGCAGAGCCCTTGTCCGAGCCTTCCCCAGACTCCAGGATTGCCCCATGTTCCTCCCCAACCTCCTCACTGTCCGACTCTGCTACCAGGTCCACAGGCCGCCTGCGGATCACAACAGGAAAGTGTTTCAGAAAGAATTCTCTAGCTTCCCAGAGAGTAAAAGGAGAAGGCGCGACAAATACTTTCACAGTTGCAAGATTCTGTATTGTAACCTTACATTGAGAGATAGAGCTAGTACTAATTTTTATGTTTGTAGTCTGGACTACCTTGAAGGGCTGAGCAATGTCTCCTCCAATCAGGATTCCCAGACCAGGGATGTACAGACCTAGCCTGAATCCAAAGGGGCTTCTGTCCCCAACAACAGCCTTTCTCGAACACACACACACACACACACACACACACACACACACACACACACAAATGTCTGTGTCCACATCTCATTTGTTGGACCCTAGTTTTGTGATCATTTAGAAATCTTAGTTGGAGCTGTTCCCAGTGAACGTAATAAGGACAAATACACCCACTTGTCACAAAAGGGCATCTTGTAATCCCAGGGTGCCACAACCGTCATAAATTCGAGTCCATTTTCAAGCATCTGAATTTTCATCAGGAGATCCTGAGGATCCTGCAACTGCTGTAAGTCGTAATTCCCTTTCTTCAGTGCCATTGAAACTTTGAATGGTCACTAAGGCAGTCATTGACTTAGTCCTTATTCAAGGACGACCTGTGTATGAAACTTCTCAGAGAGGAAAGTATGAAGGTGGCCGGCCTTTTGCTGAGTCTCTGCTGATAAAGACGTTGCTCTTTGTTCCTTGGAGTGTCCGGGAGAGTCCTGAAGAAACCTCCTCAGGCACCAGCTGGATCTGGGCATGCAGACCTGTGAGATTCTCCAGCACGAGCCAGAAGGACGGGGTGGATGCGTGGGTGGGTGGATAGATAGACGGAGGGGTGGGCGATGGTGGATCATTCTGCTGCAAACAGACATCAGGGCCACTTCCTGGAACTACCGTAACCACCAAGCGGTGAACAGTTCAAGAGCAGAATAAAATATGCTGCCTCTCTGGATCCACCTGAAACAACAAATAGGAGACTAACATAAGACAAATTGGAGACATAAAGAACACATTGGATTTAAAATGTCCCCATCTCTTGATATGGGAATATCCTTAGAATTTGTTCAGAAGGAATATCGGCTCTTGGATTGGATCGTTTTGTCAATTTTCCCTCTGAAATCTCATTTCAGTTGGCACAGGGCAGCATTGGGTACTCCCGAACTCAAAATTGATTAGGAGAAGAGGATGCTGAGCTCTGGGTCCTAGAGATGGGATGCCCAGGGAATCCCAGCATTGACCAATTCTCACTGGAACCCACATATATCCCCCAAAACTCAGATTTCCTTACCATGGCCAGAGAAAGAGAACACGGAAGTTCCAAGGAAGCAAAGCTCCCTCTTGATCTGTGAAGGAACAGACAGGAGACAGTTTTGACAGCTGAACCCCAGAGAGTTTCAGCAAAGCTGCCCTACAAAGAACCTTTCTAGAGCCAATAGACTCCAAAGACTCGCTGTACCCGCTGTATCTCTTTGGGAATCCCCTGCATTGTTCCCTTGGCAATGGATGATACTTTCTGTCACCCCCTTTTCCCAGGATCCCAGGGGGCTTCTGTAAAAGGAGAAGGAGCTGCCACCGAGACCCTCCCCCACATCCGCCTTTCATGATGCAGGCAATTCCTCTGCAGGGCTGGCTGTCAGAGCAGGATCCCCGCTTCTTTCCTCTCACCTCCCACTGGAGGATTCTCACTCTGGATCTGGTCCCACACTTGAATCCATCCGGACCTGAAAGAGCAACAGAGGTCAAATTCAAACTATTGGTCGCCATCGGGGCTCTTTTGGGGGGGGAGTTGAGACATTCGGCCCCCATCCAGTTTCCCTCCCAGGGTCCTTACTCAGGGCCTCCCAGGAACGGTGGGTGCCCAGAGAAACGCAAGGAAGGCAGAGCCTCACCTGAGACTAGAGAAAGGCCCAGTTCCACCTTCAGACACAATCCTCTCTGGGCTTTGTTTTGACCTGCAAGGGGACAATTGACCAGAGATGAAAACACACACAGATACAGACAGACACACAGACACACAGACTGAAGATGCCTCAACATTTGTCAAGAGCTTTTCTTTGACCTCTTTATGCTAAAATAGGTGAAGGCAGGTAAAGAAAGAAAGGGGCTTTGGGGCTCCCTTGGCAGCAAAGGAGTCTCCCTCCCTCTCCCAGGCGGTTCTTCCCCTCCCACGTCCCCCTTCAGCCCCTGAGGGGGACAAGAGAGCCGGAGGTGAAAGGCCCAAGGAGATTCCAGCCCCTCCACAAACTGACCTCTGAATCTGGGGGCCCCTGGTCGGAGGGCCGGAGGGAGGGACACCTCCAGGCTCCTTCGTCCTGCAAAAAGGCAAGTAAGAGTCAGAGTTACACCGATGATCCCAGAGGAAGAGTCATCCAAAATCCCAGGGGTCCGGCAGGACACGTTTATCTGAGGGCTAATACTCCTCACCCTTTCTTTCAAGGGTCTCCGTCTCAGATGGGGGGAAGAGCTGAAGCGAGGAAGGTGGAAAGGAGGGGATCCAGCCGGTTCCCACTGGCCCGCTTCTTCCCGAGATCCCATCAGTGGCCGAAGGGAGCTCTAGGATCGCGCCTCCCCAGCTGGTTTTCTTGGATGGCAAGACAGGCCATCGCTGGACTGTGTGTGTGTTTATGTTTGGAAGGCGGGGAAGTGTGGTGGCATTTTCCCGAATTTGGGGAAGTTGGAGGAGGAGGAGGGAGGAGGGGTTTAGGGGCTCCCTGCCCCACGGCTGGTGGCAGCTCCTTCCGCAGGTGGGTTTTGACGGAGTGGATCCCGCCGCTTACATTTCATTTTCTTCCTGGAATTTAGACACCCCGCATGGAGAGACTCTGGGCGGTGTATCATTTCAAGAGGAAAACCCAAAGCCGAGGAAAAGGAGGCTGCATGGAGGAAAGGAGCCCCTCGGAGCCCCTCCGACCTGTCCAGAGGCTCCCGCTGCTCCTCTTTCTGCCCCGGGCGAGACTGCCTCTGCCAGCCAAAATGGAGCTTGGGAGGGGGGCGCTCGGGGGGGCGGTTTTCGCTGGCAGAGGGAGGGCTAGCAAAAAAAAACAAAAAAGCAAACAAAAATAAAAAAGGAGAGATGTTTCTTTGCATCTGAGCAGCCAAGAAGGGCCAGGAAAGGAGAAAAGGGGAGGAGGAAAGACAAATTAAGAGAAGGAAAGAGAGGAAGAGAGCAAGGAAGGGTTGCCCCCCCCTCCCCGCCTTGCCTTCAGCCCTCATTCCTTCCTACCTCGGAGACTTCGGGGCTTTGGAGTCCATGGGGCGCAAAGGGGCCGGAGGGCCTCGAGCCTGACTTGCAAAAGCGCCCGCAGCTCCGTTTCTCCTGGTCCTCCGCGCCAGATGAGGAAGTGCAAAAACGGGAAGCCCCAAAACAGAACTGCTGAGTGTCCACTACGCGGCACAGCCTTTGGCTCCCGCTTCTGCTTCTGCTCCGGGTGGGTCGCCCTCTGGGCAGCCCTGCCAGCCCGTCCACGGGAGCCCTGAAGCGGTGCGAGGCGAGAAGCGAGGGCAGCCCAGAACACTCGTTGCCTCTACTCCTAACTTACTCCACGGCTACCGCTCCTCCTCCTCCAACGCCCTCCGATTCCCGCCACCGCTGTGGCCCTGGGGGACAAGGCCAGGCTCTGGGTGCCCAAGACGCGCTCTTCCGAGGGGAGTGGAGCCGCCGCTTCAGTTCTCTTCTCCGTCCTCCGGCTCCGATACTGTGAAGGGCGCAAGCGTAGAACGGGAGCGCTGCATATACCCCTCCACACACACACGAGATTGGCGCTGCTAGGATCCGTTCTGGTCAATAAGGCTCCGATTGCCACTCGGTCGCTGGTTCTTTTGCGTTGAGACGATACTGCAGCTCGTGACTCTCCCTTGCAAGGGGCCGATCCCTCCTTTGGACTCCCAGCGAGAAGATCCGAGGTTTTTCGGCTGCCAAGCCTCTAATGATGGATGAAAGCGACGTTTCCATTGGGGCTGTTCTTGTTCCTTCCCACCGACAATATAAACCAAATCTTCTTGACTGCAAGTTCCGCCTTTTTTTCTTTACAAACAGTCCCTGTGAAAAGGCGTCTAGAAAACAGGCGATGGGATGCGGGCGATGGGACCTGGGAATGACCGGAGGGGGGTGAGGGCGGGAAAGAGCCGCAGCCTCAGGGAAGAGATACCTTGGTCACCCCGAGAGGACTTTTGGGGGGGGTGCAAGGAAAGCGTTTCCGAAAGAACTCCCTTGTCTCCCAGGGAGGAAAAGGTGAGGAGGGAGAAATGCTTGCAAGATTCTGTATTGTCATCTTACAGTGAGAGATGGAGCTCCTATTCATTCTCCCGTTTGTTGTCTGGACCACCTTGAAGGGCTCTCCAATGTCTCCTCCGATCAGGATTCCCAGACCAGGGATGGAGCCTGCCTAGCCTGAATCCAAGGGGGCTTCTGGACCCACCCACAGCCTTTCCCAAACACACAGACACACACAGACACACATGTATCTGACCACACACACCTGATTCGGAGGACCCCAATTCTGTGATTATTTAGAAACGTTAGTTGCTGCTGTTAATGGTGAACTTAAGAAAGATAATTAACACACATTTTCATGGACAGAACGTGGCTCAATGACTGCAGATTTTCTCCATCGGGATCTTTTTCTTTTTTTTTTTTTAGTATTTCATTAAACAACTGCTGAAAATTTGTTCCCCCAAAGAGTCTGCCCCATACAATCTGCCCCATGATAATCCTGAGTCCCTCGTTTGATATTCTAACAAGTTTCCTACAGTTACAAAGGAGTAAATACAAATTTATTCATTCATCATATTCTACAAGTATAATCAAATACGAATATGAATTTATTATATTTTGTAGTCAATGTCTTTCTTCGTATACTTCAATTGTCATACATTCATACATTCATATTTGAAGTAAAAGGAAATCTCAAGATGAAAATATACTCAATTAGAATTTCCTGCGGATGGAAGCCCTCAGGTCAGTTAAATCCTAAGCAACTCAACTGACTTAGAAAAAGAGTCCCATTTTTCAGGGGAAAAGTATTTCCAATAGCAAAATCAAAGCCGAGGACACTCCAGTTTTAAATGCTCTGGACTTTTACTGTGCAAAATCAGGCAGCCCTGAGCATCGCTGCATGGCTCATTTTGGGAGGCTATAAAAACCCATCGAAGTAAAAAGGCATGTAAATTCCTTGTGTACAAGTAGTCCTCCACGTATGACCACAACTGAGCCCCAAATTTTGTTCCTAAATGAGTTTTACTCTTTCTTGCCACGGTTGTAAAGTGAATCACTGCCATTGTCAGGATAGGAATTATTCAAGGACGACCTGTATATGAAACTGCTCAGAGAGGAACGTATGAAGGTGGCCGGCCTTTTGCTGAGTCTCTGCTGATAAAGACTCTTTGCTCTTTGTTCCGTGGAGGGTCCGGGAGAGTCCTGAAGAAACCTCCTCAGGCACCAGCTGGATCTGGGCATGAAGACCTGTGAGAAGCCAGAAGGACGGGGTGGAGAGACGGAGGGGTGGGCGATGGTGGATCATTCTGCTGCAAACAGACATCAGGGCCACTTCCTGGAACTACCGTAACCACCAAGCGGTGAACAGTTCAAGAGCAGAATAAAATATGCTGCCTCTCTGGATCCACCTGAAACAACAAATAGGAGACAAACATAAGACAAATTGGAGACATAAAGAACACATTGGATTTAAAATGTCCCCATCTCTTGATATGGGAATATCCTTAGAATTTGTTCAGAAGGAATATCGGCTCTTGGATTGGATCGTTTTGTCAATTTTCCCTCTGAAATCTCATTTCAGTTGGCACAGGGCAGCATTGGGTACTCCCGAACTCAAAATTGATTAGGAGAAGAGGATGCTGAGCTCTGGGTCCTAGAGATGGGATGCCCAGGGAATCCATGCATTGATCAATTCTCACTGGAACCCACATATATCCCCCAAACTCAGATTTCCTTACCATGGCCAGAGAAAGAGAAAATGGAAGTTCCAAGGAAGCAAAGCTCCCTCTTGATCTGTGAAGGAACAGACAGGAGACAGTTTTGACAGCTGAACCCCAGAGAGTTTCAGCAAAGCTGCCCTACAAAGAACCTTTCTAGAGCCAATAGACTCCAAAGACTCGCTGTACCCGCTGTATCTCTTTGGGAATCCCCTGCATTGTTCCCTTGGCAATGGATGATACTTTCTGTCACCCCCTTTTCCCAGGATCCCAGGGGGCTTCTGTAAAAGGAGAAGGAGCTGCCACCGAGACCCTCCCCCACATCCGCCTTTCATGATGCAGGCAATTCCTCTGCGGGGCTGGCTGTCAGAGCAGGATCCCCGCTTCTTTCCTCTCACCTCCCACTGGAGGATTCTCAGTCTGGATCTGAAGACTGGTCCCACACTTGAATCCATCCGGACCTGAAAGAGCAACAGAGGTCAAATTCAGACTATTGGTCACCATCGGGGCTCTTTTGTGGGGGGGGGGAGTTGAGACATTGGGTCCCCATCCAGTTTCCCTGCCAGGGTCCTAACTCAGGGCCTCCCAGGAACGGTGGGTGCCCAGAGAAATGCAAGGAAGGCAGAGCCTCACCTGAGACTAGAGAAAGGCCCAGTTCCACCTTCAGACACAAACTTCTCTGGGCTTCGTTTTGACCTGCAAGGGGACAATTGACCAGAGATGAAAACAGAGACAGATACAGACAGACACACAAAATGAAGATGCCTCAACGTTTGTCAAGAGCTTTTCTTTGACCTCTTTATGCTAGAATAGGTGAAGGCAGGAAAAGAAAGGAAGGGGCTTTGGGGCTCCCTTGGCAGCAAAGGAGTCTCCCTCCCTCTCCCAGGCGGATCTTCCCCTCCCACGTCCCCCTTCAGCCCCTGAGGGGGACAAGAGAGGCAGAGGCGAAAGGCCCAAGGAGATTCCAGCCCCTCCACAAACTGACCTCTGAATCTGAGGGGCCCTGGTCGGAGGGCCAGCTGGAGGGACACCTCCAGGCTCCTTGGTCCTGCAACAAGGAAAGTAAGAGTTACACCGGTGATCCCAGAGGAAGAGTCATCCATAATCCCAGGGGTCCTGCAGGACACGGATCCTCCTCTCCCTTTCTTTCAAAGGGTCTCCGTCTCAGATGGGGGGAAGAGCTGAAGCGAGGAAGGTGGAAAGGAGGGGATCCAGCCGGTTCCCACTGGCCCGCTTCTTCCCGAGATCCCATCAGTGGCCGAAGGGAGCTCTAGGATCGCACTTTCCCAGCTGGTTCTCTTGGATAGTAAATCAGGCCATCCCTGGACTGTGCGTGTGTTTGGAAGGCGGGAGAATGAGGGGCATTTTCCCGAATTTGGGCAAGGTGGAGGAGGAGGAGGGAGGAGGGGTTTAGGTGCTCCTTGCCCCACGGCTGGTGGCAGCTCCTTCCGCAGGTGGGTTTTGACGGAGTGGATCCTGCCGGTTACATTTCATTTTCTCCCTGGAATTTAGCTACTCCGCATCGAGAGACTCTGGGCGGTGTATAATTTCAAGAGGAAAACCCAAAGCCGAGGAAAAGGAGGCTGCATTGAGGAAAGGAGCCCCTCGAGCCCTCCGACCTGTCCAGAGGCTCCCGCTGCCCCTCTTTCTGCCCCGGGCGAGAGCGGCGGGAGTGGACGGCTCCCCATCCCGAGCGGCGCCGCATCCCCACCTGCAGACTCGCCGTTGTTCATGGCTCCTTCTCTTCTCCGCGCAACTCACGACCCTCAGCGGCTTAAATTGGTGGCCGGACCTCCGCCTCGGGCTGCGATTCCTTCGTCACGCCTCCTTCCTCTCTCACGGCTGCTCCTCCGGGACCGCCACCAAGGCTCCGGCGCCACCAGCCCTTCGCCCAGGGCTTCAAACTCCTGGCCCGCGGGGCCCCGATGGGAAGCGGCGACTGAGTGGCCCCCGGGGCCTCTGCCGGCGCAAATGGAGCTTGGGAGGGGGGTGCTCGGGGGTGGCGGTTTTCGCTGGCAGAGGGAGGGCGAGCAAAACCAAAGCAAAAAGCAAACAAAAAGCAAAAAGGAGAAATGTTTCTTTGCATTTGAGCATCCAAGAAGGGCCAGGAAAGGAGAAAAGGGGAGGAGGAAAGGCAAATTAAGAGCTGGAAAGAGAGGAAGAGAGCAACGAAGGGCTGCCCCCCCCGCGCCCCCCTTTGCCAGCCCTGCCAGCCCTGAAGCAGTGCGAGGAGACAAGCGGGAGCGGCCCAGAATATACGGTAGGGCAGTTCACCAGATAGGGCTGCCCAGACGGTAGTAGTCGAAGCAAAGAGGATTTTGGGGAACTTCTGCTTATATCCTCCACACTGTATATCCTTACCGTGAATTTCTGAAATGGATTTTCGCCGTCTGGTGGTTGTCGGGGGAGAGTTTTCTATCGGGTTGGACAGGAACCGAAGTACAAAAACGCTTTTCGTGTATCGTTACCCTGAATTTCTGAAATGGATTTTCGCCGTCTGGTGGTTGTCGGGGGAGAGTTTTCTATCGGGTTGGACAGGAACCGAAGTACAAAAACGCTTTTCGTGTATCGTTACCCTGAATTTCTGAAATGGATTTTCGCCGTCTGGTGGTTGTCGGGGGGGAGAGTTTTCTATCGGGTTGGACAGGAACGAAACTACAAAAACGCTTTTCGTGTATCGTTACCGTGAATTTCTGAAATGGATTTTCGCCGTCTGGTGGTTGTCGGGGGGAGAGTTTTCTATCGGGTTGGACAGGAACCGAAGTACAAAAACGCTTTTCGTGTATCGTTACCTTGAATTTCTGAAATGGATTTTCGCCGTCTGGTGGTTGTCGGGGAGAGAGTTTTCTATCGGGTTGGACAGGAACCGAAGTACAAAAACGCTTTTCGTGTATCGTTACCTTGAATTTCTGAAATGGATTTTCGCCGTCTGGTGGTTGTCGGGGGGAGAGTTTTCTATCGGGTTGGACAGGAACCGAAGTACAAAAACGCTTTTCGTGTATCGTTACCTTGAATTTCTGAAATGGATTTTCGCCGTCTGGTGGTTGTCGGGGAGAGAGTTTTCTATCGGGTTGGACAGGAACCGAAGTACAAAAACGCTTTTCGTGTATCGTTACCCTGAATTTCTGAAATGGATTTTCGCCGTCTGGTGGTTGTCGGGGGGAGAGTTTTCTATCGGGTTGGACAGGAACGAAACTACAAAAACGCTTTTCATGTATCGTTACCGTGAATTTCTGAAATGGATTTTCGCCGTCTGGTGGTTGTCGGGGGGAGAGTTTTCTATCGGGTTGGACAGGAACCGAAGTACAAAAACGCTTTTCGTGTATCCTTACCTTGAATTTCTGAAATGGATTTTCGCCGTCTGGTGGTTGTCGGGGGGAGAGTTTTCTATCGGGTTGGACAGGAACGAAACTACAAAAACGCTTTTCGTGTATCGTTACCGTGAATTTCTGAAATGGATTTTCGCCGTCTGGTGGTTGTCGGGGGGAGAGTTTTCTATCGGGTTGGACAGGAACCGAAGTACAAAAACGCTTTTCGTGTATGGTTACCTTGAATTTCTGAAATGGATTTTCGCCGTCTGGTGGTTGTCGGGGAGAGAGTTTTCTATCGGGTTGGACAGGAACCGAAGTACAAAAACGCTTTTCGTGTATCGTTACCCTGAATTTCTGAAATGGATTTTCGCCGTCTGGTGGTTGTCGGGGGGAGAGTTTTCTATCGGGTTGGGCAGGAAGGGAAGTACAAAAACGCTTTTCGTGTATCGTTACCGTGAATTTCTGAAATGGATTTTCGCCGTCTGGTGGTTGTCGGGGGGAGAGTTTTCTATCGGGTTGGGCAGGAAGGGAAGTACAAAAACGCTTTTCGTGTATCGTTACCGTGAATTTCTGAAATGGATTTTCGCCGTCTGGTGGTTGTCGGGGGAGAGTTTTCTATCGGGTTGGGCAGGAAGGGAAGTACAAAAACGCTTTTCGTGTATCGTTACCGTGAATTTCTGAAATGGATTTTCGCTGTCTGGTGGTTGTCGGGGGGGAGAGTTTTCTATCGGGTTGGGCAGGAAGGGAAGTACAAAAACGCTTTTCGTGTATCGTTACCGTGAATTTCTGAAATGGATTTTCGCCGTCTGGTGGTTGTCGGGGGGAGAGTTTTCTATCGGGTTGGGCAGGAAGGGAAGTACAAAAACGCTTTTCGTGTATCGTTACCGTGAATTTCTGAAATGGATTTTCGCTGTCTGGTGGTTGTCGGGGGGGAGAGTTTTCTATCGGGTTGGGCAGGAAGGGAAGTACAAAAACGCTTTTCGTGTATCGTTACCGTGAATTTCTGAAATGGATTTTCGCTGTCTGGTGGTTGTCGGGGGGGAGAGTTTTCTATCGGGTTGGGCAGGAAGGGAAGTACAAAAACGCTTTTCGTGTATCGTTACCGTGAATTTCTGAAATGGATTTTCGCTGTCTGGTGGTTGTCCGGGGGAGAGTTTTCTATCGGGTTGGGCAGGAAGGGAAGTACAAAAACGCTTTTCGTGTATCGTTACCGTGAATTTCTGAAATGGATTTTCGCTGTCTGGTGGTTGTCGGGGGGAGAGTTTTCTATCGGGTTGGGCAGGAAGGGAAGTACAAAAACGCTTTTCGTGTATCGTTACCGTGAATTTCTGAAATGGATTTTCGCCGTCTGGTGGTTGTCGGGGGGAGAGTTTTCTATCGGGTTGGGCAGGAAGGGAAGTACAAAAACGCTTTTCGTGTATCGTTACCGTGAATTTCTGAAATGGATTTTCGCCGTCTGGTGGTTGTCGGGGGAGAGTTTTCTATCGGGTTGGGCAGGAAGGGAAGTACAAAAACGCTTTTCGTGTATCGTTACCGTGAATTTCTGAAATGGATTTTCGCTGTCTGGTGGTTGTCGGGGGGGAGAGTTTTCTATCGGGTTGGGCAGGAAGGGAAGTACAAAAACGCTTTTCGTGTATCGTTACCGTGAATTTCTGAAATGGATTTTCGCCGTCTGGTGGTTGTCGGGGGAGAGTTTTCTATCGGGTTGGGCAGGAAGGGAAGTACAAAAACGCTTTTCGTGTATCGTTACCGTGAATTTCTGAAATGGATTTTCGCTGTCTGGTGGTTGTCGGGGGGGAGAGTTTTCTATCGGGTTGGGCAGGAAGGGAAGTACAAAAACGCTTTTCGTGTATCGTTACCGTGAATTTCTGAAATGGATTTTCGCCGTCTGGTGGTTGTCGGGGGGAGAGTTTTCTATCGGGTTGGGCAGGAAGGGAAGTACAAAAACGCTTTTCGTGTATCGTTACCGTGAATTTCTGAAATGGATTTTCGCTGTCTGGTGGTTGTCGGGGGGAGAGTTTTCTATCGGGTTGGGCAGGAAGGGAAGTACAAAAACGCTTTTCGTGTATCGTTACCGTGAATTTCTGAAATGGATTTTCGCTGTCTGGTGGTTGTCGGGGGGAGAGTTTTCTATCGGGTTGGGCAGGAAGGGAAGTACAAAAACGCTTTTCGTGTATCGTTACCGTGAATTTCTGAAATGGATTTTCGCTGTCTGGTGGTTGTCCGGGGGAGAGTTTTCTATCGGGTTGGGCAGGAAGGGAAGTACAAAAACGCTTTTCGTGTATCGTTACCGTGAATTTCTGAAATGGATTTTCGCTGTCTGGTGGTTGTCGGGGGGAGAGTTTTCTATCGGGTTGGGCAGGAAGGGAAGTACAAAAACGCTTTTCGTGTATCGTTACCGTGAATTTCTGAAATGGATTTTCGCCGTCTGGTGGTTGTCGGGGGGAGAGTTTTCTATCGGGTTGGGCAGGAAGGGAAGTACAAAAACGCTTTTCGTGTATCGTTACCGTGAATTTCTGAAATGGATTTTCGCCGTCTGGTGGTTGTCGGGGGAGAGTTTTCTATCGGGTTGGGCAGGAAGGGAAGTACAAAAACGCTTTTCGTGTATCGTTACCGTGAATTTCTGAAATGGATTTTCGCTGTCTGGTGGTTGTCGGGGGGAGAGTTTTCTATCGGGTTGGGCAGGAAGGGAAGTACAAAAACGCTTTTCGTGTATCGTTACCGTGAATTTCTGAAATGGATTTTCGCCGTCTGGTGGTTGTCGGGGGGAGAGTTTTCTATCGGGTTGGGCAGGAAGGGAAGTACAAAAACGCTTTTCGTGTATCGTTACCGTGAATTTCTGAAATGGATTTTCGCTGTCTGGTGGTTGTCGGGGGGGAGAGTTTTCTATCGGGTTGGGCAGGAAGGGAAGTACAAAAACGCTTTTCGTGTATCGTTACCGTGAATTTCTGAAATGGATTTTCGCTGTCTGGTGGTTGTCGGGGGGGAGAGTTTTCTATCGGGTTGGGCAGGAAGGGAAGTACAAAAACGCTTTTCGTGTATCGTTACCGTGAATTTCTGAAATGGATTTTCGCTGTCTGGTGGTTGTCCGGGGAGAGTTTTCTATCGGGTTGGGCAGGAAGGGAAGTACAAAAACGCTTTTCGTGTATCGTTACCGTGAATTTCTGAAATGGATTTTCGCTGTCTGGTGGTTGTCGGGGGGGGAGAGTTTTCTATCGGGTTGGGCAGGAACGAAACTACAAAAACGCTTTTCGTGTATCCTTACCTTGAATTTCTGAAATGGATTTTCGCCGTCTGGTGGTTGTCGGGGGGAGAGTTTTCTATCGGGTTGGGCAGGAAGGGAAGTACAAAAACGCTTTTCGTGTATCGTTACCGTGAATTTCTGAAATGGATTTTCGCTGTCTGGTGGTTGTCCGGGGGAGAGTTTTCTATCGGGTTGGGCAGGAAGGGAAGTACAAAAACGCTTTTCGTGTATCGTTACCGTGAATTTCTGAAATGGATTTTCGCTGTCTGGTGGTTGTCGGGGGGAGAGTTTTCTATCGGGTTGGACAGGAACGAAACTACAAAAACGCTTTTCGTGTATCCTTACCTTGAATTTCTGAAATGGATTTTCGCCGTCTGGTGGTTGTCGGGGGGAGAGTTTTCTATCGGGTTGGACAGGAACGAAACTACAAAAACGCTTTTCGTGTATCGTTACCGTGAATTTCTGAAATGGATTTTCGCCGTCTGGTGGTTGTCGGGGGGAGAGTTTTCTATCGGGTTGGACAGGAACCGAAGTACAAAAACGCTTTTCGTGTATGGTTACCTTGAATTTCTGAAATGGATTTTCGCCGTCTGGTGGTTGTCGGGGAGAGAGTTTTCTATCGGGTTGGACAGGAACCGAAGTACAAAAACGCTTTTCGTGTATCGTTACCCTGAATTTCTGAAATGGATTTTCGCCGTCTGGTGGTTGTCGGGGGGAGAGTTTTCTATCGGGTTGGGCAGGAAGGGAAGTACAAAAACGCTTTTCGTGTATGGTTACCGTGAATTTCTGAAATGGATTTTCGCCGTCTGGTGGTTGTCGGGGGGAGAGTTTTCTATCGGGTTGGGCAGGAAGGGAAGTACAAAAACGCTTTTCGTGTATCGTTACCGTGAATTTCTGAAATGGATTTTCGCCGTCTGGTGGTTGTCGGGGGAGAGTTTTCTATCGGGTTGGGCAGGAAGGGAAGTACAAAAACGCTTTTCGTGTATCGTTACCGTGAATTTCTGAAATGGATTTTCGCTGTCTGGTGGTTGTCGGGGGGGAGAGTTTTCTATCGGGTTGGGCAGGAAGGGAAGTACAAAAACGCTTTTCGTGTATCGTTACCGTGAATTTCTGAAATGGATTTTCGCCGTCTGGTGGTTGTCGGGGGGAGAGTTTTCTATCGGGTTGGGCAGGAAGGGAAGTACAAAAACGCTTTTCGTGTATCGTTACCGTGAATTTCTGAAATGGATTTTCGCTGTCTGGTGGTTGTCCGGGGGAGAGTTTTCTATCGGGTTGGGCAGGAAGGGAAGTACAAAAACGCTTTTCGTGTATCGTTACCGTGAATTTCTGAAATGGATTTTCGCTGTCTGGTGGTTGTCGGGGGGGAGAGTTTTCTATCGGGTTGGGCAGGAAGGGAAGTACAAAAACGCTTTTCGTGTATCGTTACCGTGAATTTCTGAAATGGATTTTCGCTGTCTGGTGGTTGTCCGGGGGAGAGTTTTCTATCGGGTTGGACAGGAAAGACGGTGAAAAAACGTATCTTTTTTTTCCTGTGTATCACACGAAGACACATGAAACCACGGGCGAGAGCGGCGGGAGTGGACCGCCCCTCCCCCATCCCGAGTGGCGCCGCATCCCCACCTGCAGACTCGCCGTTATTCATGTCTTCTCCTCCGCGCAACTCACGACCCTCACCGGCTTAAATTGGTGGCCGGAGCTCCGCCTCGGGCTGCGATTCCTTCGTCACGCCTCCTTCCTCTCTCACGGCTCCTCCTCCGGGACAGCGACCAAGGCTCCGCCGACTCCAGTCCTTCGCCCAGGGCTGTCAAACTGAAGACCCGCGGGGGCCCCCATGTGAAACGGCGAATGAGCGGCCCCCGAGGCCTCTGCCGGCGCAAACGGAGCTTGGGAGGGTGGCACTCGGAGAGGCCGTTTTCTCTGGCAGAGGGAGGGCGAGCAAAAACAAAGCAAAAAGCAAAGAAAAAGCAAAAAGGAGAAATATTTCTTTGCATTTGAGCATCCAAGAAGGGCCAGAAAAGGAGAAAAGGGGAGGAGGAAAGAAAAATTAAAAGAAGGAAAGAGAGGAAGAGAGCAAGGAAGGGTTGCCCCCCCACGCGCCCCCCTTTGCCTTCAGCCTCAGTCCTTCCTACTTCTGCGACTTCTGCGCCTTGGAGTCCATGGGGCGCAAAGGGGACGGAGGTCCCCCACCCTGACTTGCAAAAGCGCCCTCAGCTCCGTTTCTCCTGGTCCCGAGTGGCAGAGGAGGAAGGGAAAAAACGGGAAGTCCCAGAAGAGAAGGGCATCTACGCGGCACAGCCTTTGGCTTCAGCTTCTGCTTTTGCTCCGGGATGGTCGCCCTCTGGGCAGCTCTGCCAGCCCGTCCACGGGAGCCCTGAAGCGGTGCGAGGAGAGAAGCAGGAGCGGCCCAGAATATACTGTAGGGCAGTTCACCAGATAGGGCTGCCCAGACGGTAGTAATGAGGATTTTGGGAACTTCTGCTTATATCCCTCGCACTGTATATCCTTACCGTGTATGTCTCACATGGAACTTCGCCGTCTAGCGGTTGGGGGGGGGAGGGTTTTCTATGGTATGCAAAATAACGAACCAGACAAACGTACAGATATTTAAGAATATATCCTTGCCGTGTGTTTTTCACATCGGTCGTCGCCTCTAGTGGTTGCTCTCTTCCCGGCGTGCAGGAGATCTGCGGTTGGGCCACCGCATGGGATAACTGGCCAAATACCCCGGTTTCCTGGTCCGACGACAATCAATGGGCCACATATACGGGTATCATATATACGCTCTAATCATCCGTTAAGATCCCATCGTTACTTTGCAAAGAGATCTGGGAACAGGGAGTCTTGGGAGTCTATTGGCTCTTGAAAGGTTCTTTGTAGGGCAGCTTTGCTGGAACTCTCTGGGGTTCAGCTGTCAAAACTGTCTCCTGTCTGTTCCTTCACAGATCAAGAGGGAGCTTTGCTTCCTTGGAACTTCCGTGTTCTCTTTCTCTGTCCATGGTTAGCAAATCTGACTTTGGGGGATATATGTGGGTTCCAGTGAGAATTGGTCAATGCTGGGATTCCCTGGGTATCCCATCTCTAGGACCCAGAGCTCAGCATCCTCTCCTCCTCCTCAATTTTGAGTTTGGGAGTACCCAATGCTGCCCTGTGCCAACTGATATGAGATTTCAGAGGGAAAATTGACAAAACGATCCAATCCAAGAGCCGATATTCCTTCTGAACAAATTCTAAGGATATTCCCACATCAAGAGATGGGGACATTTTAAATCCAATGTGTTCTTTATGTCTCCAATTTGTCTTATGTTTGTCTCCTATTTGTTGTTTCAGGTGGATCCAGAGAGGCAGCATATTTTATTCTGCTCTTGAACTGCTCACCGCTTGGTGGTTAAGGTAGTTCCAGGAAGTGGCCCTCTCCAGCCTTGATGTCTGTTTGCAGCAGAATGATCCACCATCGCCCACCCCTCCGTCTCTCCACCCCGTCCTTCTGGCTTCTCACAGGTCTTCATGCCCAGATCCAGCTGGTGCCTGAGGAGGTTTCTTCAGGACTCTCCCGGACCCTCCACGGAACAAAGAGCAAAGAGTCTTTATCAGCAGAGACTCAGCAAAAGGCCGGCCACCTTCATACTTTCCTCTCTGAGCAGTTTCATATACAGGTCGTCCTTGAATAAGGACTAAGTCAATGACTGCCTTAGTGACCATTCAAAGTTTCAATGGCACTGAAAAAAGGGAATTACGACTTACAGCAGTTGCAGGGTCCTCGTGGTCTCCTGATGAAAATTCAGATGCTTGAAAATGGACTCAAATTTATGACGGTTGGGGCACCCTGTGGTTTCCAGGAGCCAAGGAAATGCGGGAGGCAGATTCACTGAACAACCATGTTACTGAGGGGACCTCTTGGATGAGAAGCAAGAAAAGCCCAGTTGCCTCTTGAAAAAGCACCTTTGGGACAACCCTCACCTGGATGGCTGGGAGTCTCTGGAGACACTGAACCATGTTCCTATCCTGACAACGGCAGTGATTCACTTAACAACCGTGGCAAGAAAGAGTAAAACTCATTTAGCAACAAAATTTTGGGCTCAGTTTTGGTCATACGTGGAGGACTACTTGGACACAAGAAATTGACATGCATTTACTCCAATGGGTTTTTATAGCCTCCCAAAATGAGCCATGCAGCGATGCTCAGGGCTGCCTGATTTTGCACTGTAAAAGTCCAGAGCATTTATAACTGGAGTCCCCTCGGCTTTGATTTTGCTATTGGAAATTCTTTTCACCTGAAAAATGGGATTCTTTTTATAAGTCAGTTGAGTTGCTTAGGATTTAACTGAGCTCAGGGCTTCCATCCGCAGGAAATACTAATTGAGTATATTTTCATATTGAGATTTCCTTTTACTTCAAATATGAATGTATGACAATTGAAGTATACGAAGAAAGACATTGACTACAAAATATAATAAATTTATATTCATATTTGATTATACTTGTAGAATATGATGAATGAATAAATTTGTATTTACTCCTTTATAACTGTAGGAAACTTTTTAAAATATCAAATCACAGACTCAGGATTATCATGGGGCAGATTGTATGGGGCAGACTCTTTGGGGGAACAAATTTTCAGCAATAGTTCAATTAAATATTTTTAAAAAATTAATAGATCCCGATGGAGAAAATCTGCAGTCATTGAGCCACGTTCTGTCCATGAACATGTGTGTTAATTATCTTTCTTAAGTTCACCATTAACAGCAGCAACTAACGTTTCTAAATAATCACAGAACTGGGGTCCTCCGAATCAGGTGTGTGTGGTCAGATACATGTGTGTCTGTGTTTGGGAAAGGCTGTCGGTGGGTACAGAAGCCCCCTTGGATTCAGGCTAGGCAGGCTCCATCCCTGGTCTGGGAATCCTGATCAGAGGAGACATTGGAGAGCCCTTCAAGGCGGTCCAGACAGCATCAGGAGAATGAATAGGAGCTCCATCTCTCACTGTAAGATGACAATACAGAATCTTGCAAGCATTTCTCCTTCCTCACCTTTTCCTATCTGGGAAACAAGGGAGTTCTTTTGGAAACTCTTTCCTTGCACTGCCCCCCCCCCACAAAGTCCTCTCGGGGTGACCAAGGTATCTCTTCCCTGAGGCTGCGGATCTTCCCCGTCTGGGAATCCTGATCCGAGGAGACATTGGAGAGCCCTTCAAGGCGGTCCAGACAACAAACGGGAGAATGAATAGGAGCTCCATCTCTCACTGTAAGATGACAATACAGAATCTTTCTCCCTCCTCACCTCTTCCTCTCTGGGAAACAAGGGAGTTCCTTCGGAAACGCTTTCCTTGCACCCCCCCCCCAAAAGTCCTCTGGGGTGACCAAGGTATCTCTTCCCTGAGGCTGCGGCTCTTTCCCGCCTCCCATGGTCCCATCGCCTGCGCAGAGCGTGTCTTCAGCACCCAAAGACTGGTGTTGCCCCCCTTTTTCCCCAGGGCCACAGCGGTGGCGGGAATCGGCGAGCACATGCTGAGCCCGTAAACAACGCCAATGCCACTATTCTAATTTTCAAGGGCATTCGTCTCAGGTCCAGGGCTGTATCCCACTCACACCCTAATATGTATGCCAAAGAGGACATATGACACCTGGGACAAACAAGAAAGAAAGAAGAAAGAAGAAAAAGAAAGAAAGAAAGAAAGAAAGAAAGAAAGAAAGAAAGAAAGAAAGAAAGAAAGAAAGAAAGGTGTATTTGCTTCTTTATAACCGTTGGAAACTTGTTAAAATATCAAAGAAGGATTCTCATGGGGCAGATTATATCAGAGCTGATATATTATATTGCCAGTGAGAATGGAAAAATATCAGCTCTGTCTGTGTTTTTCTGTCATTTCAAGTCAATTCTCATCTTGCAGGTCAAAATGAACAAATCCAAAGCATCTTTTGTAGCTTTCATGGGGAGTTCATCCCAGGCCCAGCTCTATACATCACTCAGAACCTAACCTATATGCCAAAGAGGAGGACCTGGGACACAAAAGGACACCACCTAATTAAACCTCTCCCATATTGAATTCTAGGGAATCTCACACTTCGGCGTGCCCAGATTCAGCTGGTGGCTAACTAGGTTTCTTCAGGATCTCCTGGACCAACATTAGAAGAAAAGACAACAGCTCCTGCTCTTTTATCAGCAGGGACTCTGCGAAAGGAAGCCCACGTTAATACTTTCCTCTATGAAAAATATCATATACTCAAGAAGTTCAGCTGCCTTTTCATTCTGATGGGTTTATACCCCCAAAATTAACCCCCTCCCCCCGAGTTCTATAGGGCTATTTGAATTTGCACTCTTATCATTCAAAGCACTTTAAGCTGGAGTCCCCTTTTATTCTGCGATTGGAAATACTTTTTGTCTGAAAATTGGGGTTCTTTTTATATGTCATTTTTTCTGGAAATTTAACTGACCTCAGGGATTCCACCCATAGAAAATATGAATTGAATCATGTATTTATTTTTATACTCAGATTTCTTTTACTTGAAATATGAATATTAAAGTATTTTGATAGAGATAAAAAGAGTAAGCATAAAATATCACCAATCCAGGTGAAAACCATATTCACTATAAAGCCGGATATTTCTTGAATGGGAAGAATAAATAAATGAATTTGTAGTTGCTTTTTTTAAAGTGTAGGAAACTTGTACAAAATAACAAAAAATAGATTCAGGATTAAGATGGGATATCAGAGCTCTTTCAAAGAACAAATATTCAGTCATTGTTCCATTAAAAACCTAAATAAACCTTCATGACTGTTTTTGATATACAAAATACTTAGCTGGAGATGTATTTGAGACCAGGTGTGAGTAAAAAAGAATAAAGTTATATTTCCTGTACCAAAGTTTGCCCTGCCTTGGTCTCCTGGGTGTAGAATTGGGGGATGGGGTTGGGGGAGTGTCGTGGATGAAGAAACCACGTGGTTTTGCAATCTTCTGGAGTCGGCTGTGGTTTTCCGGATACGGAGTACAGGTAGTCCTCAAGGCAGGTGGGGTCCTGGATCTCTCCCTGGAGGCCTCAGGAACATGCAGATCCTGTCCCTGGGAAGGTCCTTTTCCCACTTGCCTTTCAGGGACTTTCACCTTCTGGGATCAATCCTGATTTGGACCAGTTAACGGGGCAGCCTGCTATTTTGTTACAGGTGTCTATTAATTGCATCAGCTTTGGATCAGCCTCAGAGCCTCAGCATCTTCTCCTCAGCCCTTCCCTCTCCCGAGAGAAAAGGCTCAAGGTTTTGAGTCTCTCTCTAAAAGCCCAGATTCAGGGCCTTTAACTCTGTGTGTGTGTGTGTGTGTGAGAGAGAGAGAGAGAGAGAGAGAGCTCCTTCACTCTGCAGGCTGAAGAGGGCTGGGGTCTCTGGAGTCCAAGCTTCCTTCAGCCAGCCCAGACCACCATTTGCCCCCACAAACACTTGTCCACTGGAGGAGTTTTTCAGCCAGAGAGCGAAGAGCTGCCTGCCTGAAAAGTTGAGCCTTATGTGGGACAAACTCTCTCTGTCAAGAGCAGCAGTTTTGCTCTCCCAGGAGCTGGCTGGAAAAGGCCACTCTGGATTTTGGGGTGGGCCTTTTCCAGGCAGCCCTCAGGAACCAGTCAGGCGGCAAAGGCTTGAGGCCTTCCCTGCTGGCTTCCTGGCTTTGTCCTTGGCCTTCAGGGGAACCAGCAGGAAAGTTTGCCTCTTGTGATCCCATAGTTGTAGGGTGATTGGCAATAGGTGGTAAGTGCGGATGGGTTGCCAAGCATCCCGATTGCAATCCCGTGCACAGCCATCACTTTGTGGACTTGTTGTAATTCTCTTCCTCGTATTTTTGTTGCTGAAGGAGTGGTCGTTAAGCGAGGACCACCTGTATATTCATCTGAATTACTGTATGTACTGTGCTGAAACTGAGAAAAGTACCAAAGAGGCGCTTATATTCAGATTGTGATTTAACAATGCATTGTCCTGTATAGTGTTGCTTTCTGGGATGTTTGTGCCCATTACAGCCAAAAATTGCCAGGAGGGAACAGAGCTTTCTGTCTTTGAGCTGATGAGAGCTTTGGGGCGTCTTATTTCTGTAGGGAGCCTTCTATGTGTTCAACGTCTAAAAGTTATAAAAATGACTCTTTGATGAGATCATTATTTGTTATTACTGGGTCACCTTCTCGGTTTTTCTCCACCCTTTTCTTTTTCCTTTCCCTTCTCAGTTTACATGCCAGCCACCTTCCTGGTTTATTTGCAAATTCAAAATGCCTCCCTTCCACATGGGTCAGTTTAGTTTCTATTGCTCAGGTTGTTAACAGAGAGAGTTGCTGGTGTAGCAATTTATCTTGTGGTAGAATTTTAGACTCCATTTGTGTTTTTTGCAATTCCATCTCTGTATTTCTAAATTGATCCAAGAACTTTTGCATCTTTTCTTCCGTTTTCTTCTTTCTAAATAGTTGCATTGAATAAAATCATCCATTTTTTTTTCTTCCTCCAGGAGTTTACCAATACTAAATTGTCCATCATATTTAAAAATTCTTCTGTAATTTACCCTGCCGGGTTTAATCACCATCAAACAGTAGGTTTCTTTTCTAGATAACTAATGAGGAATATTCTGGTCTTTGGATCCCTCTGGTGGTCAAACAGGAAACTATTCCCAAAGTCAGTAATTTCAGACTTCCTGATTCCGACTTCATCCATTCCCCTCCTTGCCTTTGGGCAATCAGGGAGCCTCCTTAATTTAAAGTTATAAAGATTTAAAAAGCATCCTACGGGCCGGCCGTAAAAAAACTTCTTTAAAGCTGTTAAGGTAAGAGTACAAAGTTAAGTGGCAAAGAAGTAGAAGGCATGTTTAATTCTCCCTTATCAAAGTATTGAGAAATAGCTGACTCTTCCAGGGCCAATTTCCTTCTTGTTTGCCCTGCCCCCTGCTGGAGACTCACCTGATCTGCTTCTTTGCTCTGCTCCAAAGCTTTCCTGCAAGTCCCAGACTCCAGAGACGTCCATGGGGGCTGATTTTGAAGCTTTTCCCTTCCCCAGATGCATTTTTTTTTTCCCCAGGCTTAGAAACTGGCTAAGCCTACTAGCCAGTGGAGAATCCGGTCTCCATCTTCTGGAGGTCCATTCAAACAGCCAGGGGGGAAACTACCTTGATTAGTTTCCATCCCTTAATTCTTGTCCCCCTTCAGGTGCTTTGGAGAATAGGCTGTCCCCCTCTTCTTTATGGCAGCCCCTCAGCTATCATGTGGCTGCTAGTCCTTCTCTTTGTCAGACTAGACACAGCCAATTCCTGCAACCGTTTTAGTCCCCGGAACCTCTTGGTTGCTCTTCTCTGCACTCTTTCCAGAGTCTCAACGTCTTTGTTGCATTGGGGACCAAAACTGGATCCAGTATTCTAGGCAGTGGTGGGATTCAGCCGCTTCGCACCACTTCGGGAGAACCGGTTGTTAACTTTCTGAGCAGTTTGGCAAACTGGTTGTTGGAAGAAATCATTAGGGCAGAGAACCGGTTGTGAAATTACTTGAATCCCACCACCAGGGCTGGATTTAGATGAAAAGAGGCCCTAGATGAAAGGGCCACTTATGAGGCCCTTTCACCTATAGTGAAAGTGTAATTTTAATTTTGCTAACAATTTGAATGTAGGGAATGTAGGCCCCTCTTGATCTTGAGGCCCTAGG